AAAACATAAAAATTAATGAAGTAAATATGAGCATTGACTATATATTAAAAAAAAAAAGTATCACATAATCTGGCTCCTTCTCGCCTCTCTATCATCACCTACCAATCTTCTCAACTACCCCCACTGTGCTCTAGGCACACTGGCCTCTTGGTAGTCTTTACTTTAACAGCCAAGAGGGATCCCACCGTTGGACATCTGCACTTACTGTCCCTTCTGCTTGAAATGCTGTTCCCTCTGCTCTTCCCGAGATTAGCTTCTTGTCATTCAAATCTGGACTTACCAGTTCCCTCACCATTTAGTCATTATTTAGTATTATCAACCTATTTTAATTATCTGCATAGAACATATCATCTGATGTTTTTAATGGTATGCCCTCCCTAGTAAAGGTAAAGTTCCATGACAACAGGAACTTGCTTTGTCTTGTTCATCCCTATCTCCAGCGCGGAGAAAAGAACGTGGGGCACAGTAATGCTCGATGAACATTTAATAAGTGGTAAATGCAGTTAAATCTCAAAATCCTATGTTTTCCGATCACTATCCGCAACTCTACTTCCTCGACAAGTGGCTTTCAACCTTGCCGAGATTTGGGACAAAAGACCCGACTGGGATGTACAAAGAAGCAAAAGGCTATCAAAGACTGAATGATGAATCACCAGTCTTCTAAAGCTCAGTGTCAATTCCGCAAGGGGACTGGGAAGGAGAGAGCAGAATCCGTATAGAGTCCCCCAGGCTCTACAGCCGTTTACCTGTCGGAGGAATCCGCATCGTCGAACTGCCCGGGGACCACCCGGCTCATAAGCAGCCGCCGGTAGTCCATGACAGACGCGCACCGAGTTCTCCGCGCCACCGGAGAGCGCCCGCCGGCGCCGGGACAGGAATAGCACAGAAATAGCTCTACCCGCGGCCTATCCCAGTGCTGACCGGTCTCTCGAGCCGCTCAGAAGTACGTCAAATTGCTCCCGACACGTGCTACCGAAAGCAGGACCAACAGCGTGGACACAACAACGAGGGCTCCCCAGGCTCGCCGGCCCGGAAGCCCCGCCCTGCCCGCCCGGAAGTTGGGTCAGACAGGAAGTCCCGCCCCCGCCCCGGGCTGAGCATCCTGATCTCCGGACGGCGGCGCCGAGATGGGATGCACTGGCCTCGGAGTCAGGCGTGGGTATTGAACGGCCCGCGGTGTTGATCTTGTGCCGGCCGTTTTCCCCGGAGGTTTTCCTGTCTGCTTTCCCTTTTGTGTTTCCTGCCACAAAAGGACGCGCCAGGTAGCTCATGGACCGATCCGTCCAGGGCGGGTCCTACTCTCGTAACTTCCTTGTTCTAGGAACAGAGACACCGGCGCCCCCACGCCGCTGCGGTGGTGGGGTAGCACGGGCACCAGGGCGGCTCCTTTCCCGGGCCTGATAGGCGGGCGCCGGCGGACGTCACACAAGGACGTTCGAGCGCGCTGGTGCCCAACTGCGAGGGATGATCGAAGTTGTAAAAGTGTAATTGAAAGTTTTGGATTCATAAGCAAAAAACCTTTAAGAAATAAGTCCCTTGAGCTCTTTCTGCATTTGGAAAACAAAGTAAGGATTTTTAAAGTCCTCTTTACCGCAACCCAGGCATCACGTGTTTGGAAGACAGGAAGAGGTGAGCATGAAGTTGGGCCTTTCTCCAGTTGTGACTATGCTGCTTCACTTACTGACTTTTAAATACTTTGCCGGGTGATGACAACGGTTTGAAAACAAACCTTATTTGCTGTGTAGACAACCCTGGCCCATTTGCAGTAAGCGGTATTGACAAGCCATATGTGGACTCACCTGAAAGCATAATGTGCAAATACAAACACCTTTGAAACTGAGGGTGAATAGGTACTGAGTTGTGAAATAGAGATTTAGAGACACGTTGCAGGAATTTTAGAAATAGGTGAATGGGCAGTTAGGCTTCAAGAGAGAAGCACATACCAGGACATCACTGAAGTGCTACAGAGCTTTTACCTGTTTGCAGGGAAATGAGCCTGATCTGACTAGAGCAGGGGTGTACTAAGAAGTTAGTGTTGGCTTGGCGCCTGTGGCTCAAGTGGCTAAGGCGCCAGCCACATACACCTAAGATGGCGGGTTCGAATCCAGAGCCCGGACCCGCCAAACAACAATGACGGCTGCAACCAAAAAATAGCCGGGCGTTGTGGTGGGCGCCTGTGGTCCCAGCTACTTGGGAGGCTGAGGCAGGAGACTCGCTTGAGCCCAGGAGTTGGAGGTTGCTGTGAGCTTTGATGCCACTGGCACTCTACCCAGGGGGACAGCTTGAGGCTCTGTCTCAATAAAATAAAATTTAAAAAAAGAAGTTAGTGTTGTGTAAACTATGAAAGATCTAGAAGGTCAAGTAGAGGAATTTGGACTCAATGTGATTGTACATCCTTTTCATTGTTAGCTCCTTATAGATCTGAGGAGGGCACAAGGCCATAGACCAAGGTGATGAGGGAAAGAAAGCATGAGTTATTGAATGCCTCTTTTTTTTTTTTTTTTTTCATTTTTTGAAACAGAATCTTGTTCTGTTGTGAGGGTTAGAGTGCAGTGGCATTAACATAGTTCACTGCAACTTCAAACTCTTGGGCTCAAGTGGTTCTGCTGCCTCAGCCTCCAGAGTAGCTTGGACCACAAGTGTGCCTCCATGCCTGGCTAATTTTTCTGGGTTTTTTGTGGAGTCAGGGTCACACTGTATTGCCCAGGCTGGTCTCCAATGACTTACCTCAAGCAGTCCTCTTGCCTTGGTCTGCTAGTGCTGGAATGTAGGCATGAACTGCTGTGCCCACCCTGAAAGACATTTTTTTTTTATTTGAGACAAAGTCTTACTCTGTTACCCTGGCTAGGGTGCTGTGGCCTTAGCTCAAGGAAACCCCAAATTCCTGGATCCAAGTGATCCTTCTACCTCAGCCTCCTGAGTAGCTGGGACTACCATTGACTCCACCATCCCCAGCTAGTTTTTCTACTTTCAGTAGTGATGGGGTCTTGCTCTTGCTCAGGCTGGTCTCAGATTCCTGAACTCAAAGATCCTCCTGCCTCAGCCTCCCAGAGTGCCAGGATTACAAGAGTGAGCTATGGCAGTGGACCCCCTAAAGGGTTTCTGATGGTATTTTGTAAATATCAATTGATAAAGTAGCTGAGAAATCCCCTCATCTTCTGGGTCCCAACCCTTTTAGGGTATTATTAGGTAGTATCCACATATATTGACTCATTTTTAATATTTGGTAAATTAGTATTTATAACCATACCAGATTATGGTGGACTAAAATTTTTAATTTTTCTAATAATTTGACATCGTATTTTAAAATTTAGGGCAATGAAGTTTGCTTCTTAGAAGAGGGGTGGGGAAAAACCTTTTTTTGCCGATACTAATAGACATTTACATTATACATTTTTAAGAGTATCATTCAACAGTTAGGAACAAGGACTATCAAAAATTTTGGACATCACCTTCAGTTCCTGTACATTTTAAAGTGGATACTTCTCATGACAAAATAGAAGGCATGTCTGAATCAGATGTCTGGAATGTCAGCAGTCTTTCTCAAGACTTTACTCGCTCGGAGTCTCCCGTCTGTGTGGAAACCAGCAGTATCACTTCTGTCTTGCCTCAGGTGTGCCTTGCGTATAAGTTCTGGGAGGTTCAGATGTATTCAGCATTCATATTATCTTCCACTGGAAAGTTTCTTCACAAATATGAGAGAAAATGAAATCTCCAGTGGACACAGAAAGAAGGGAAATACAGGGTTTGGTCTTCCCAGGTCTGTCAGTGTACAAAGACACAATTTCACAGATTGTTCAAACTGATCCTTTCTAGCCTATGAAATCCCAGGAGTGCTGCCAGGGGATATGACCACAACTCAGTCACAGAGGCAGGAAGAGAGCCCAAAGGGCCTTACTTCAGGTCTGATGCATCCTCTACTATGTCAATATGCAAATGATTAAGTGCAAATTCATAATGACATTGACCTGCATATAAATAAGTCCATATATTCATGAAAATTCCTAGAGCCCTTTCTCACAAAATAAAAGATTGTAACATCTCAAGATCTTCATGAATGTTCTAAATGGTTGATATTTATTAGTAAGAGTGTAGGGAAATAATAGGAATGTCTTAAGTTGTGCCATGTGAGATTGCCTTTTGCAGGTCCAAAATGGACAGATAGGCTCGGCGCCTATAGCTCAACCGGCTAAGGCGCCAGCCACATACACTTAAGGTGGCGGGTTCGAATCCCCAGCCCGGACCCGCCAAACGACAATGACGTCTGCAACCAAAAAATAGCCGGGCATTGTGGCGGGCGCCTGTGGTCCCAGCTACTTGGGAGGCAGAGGCAGGAGACTTGCTTGAGCCCAGGAGTTGGAGGTTGC